AGAAACCCAGCTTCTCTTCTACCTAAAAAACAATCTTCACGTTTCCCCTCTCTCCAAATTTCTTCACAGTTAATGACTACACGCAATAAAGCAGTATATTAGATCTGTTCCAACAAGTTAATAGGCTCTGATTAATCTTATCTTCCAATACACTAGTATGTCACCCATCTTGCTGGACTAATGCAGTTATTGCAAGTTTGATTTGGTCCTGTGCAAGTTTTAGGTCTGGTTTTCTTCTTCTTTACCCAAACCAGCACTTCTGCTTGCAAAGGGCTTCCCAGCATGGTTGATCCCAGCACCCCATCAGTCCCAGCCCCGGGGCTCCCAGCCACGTGGCCATCCCGGGTGCTGCCTCTTTTCCTGCCGCCAGTTTTCATCCCGGTGACAAAGAAGATTTGGCCACAGGTCTGAGATTCCCAGATGTCGGCACGCCGCTGGTATGGCACTGCAGCGAGCCGGCCCAGAGGGAGGACGGTGAACCAACCCCATATGTGCCACCCGTGCTCACCCCTGTGGTTTCCCCCAAAATCCAAAGTGGGGAACGGTCCCAGCACCGCTGCCCGGCTGAGGATATCCATCCCCCCCGCCGCCACCACCCATCCCAAGGGCTGGGACCGGGATGAGCGCAGGCTTGCCTTGTCTCCAGCCCTGCCTGTACATTATTTCTCCTGATCATCATAACTTTCTTCCGCTTCTAAAGCACCTTTCATCACGAAACAGGATGGAGCGCGGCAGCTGTTGAACAGCATGGAGCTGCGCTGCACAGGCAGGGACGGGCAGGAAGTGGAAGCGGCTCCTGCAGCTGCTGGGACGGCGCAGGAGAGCTGTACTCACGCCACCGCATGCTGGGGCCTTATCGCATCCCCCAGCACGCTCACGGCTCCCTTCTGACACGCAAGAAGCCCATGTGGCAGGTTGCACGTGACGGCACCGATGTGACACGCGGCGGCTGGGGAGGGGCGAGCTCCCCTGCGGGACCAAGGGGAGAAGAGCCGTCCTCGGCCGCTGCAGAGCATCGCGTCTTCCTGCCCTCTCCAGCAGCACCTGCACCCAGCGCGACAACCCACGGTGCGGCGGGTCTGACCCGCGGCAGTGCAGGTCCAAGCCCTGGCGTTGCAACTCTGGATCGTGGCGTTGCACGCTCAAGCCATGGCATCACACACTCGAGCCACGGCATTGCACGCCCAAACTGCGGCACTACACACCCAAACCACGGCGTTGCACATCCAAAGCGCGGCATTGCACGTCCAAACCACGGCATTGCACGTCCAAACCACAGCATTGCACACCCAAGCCGTGGCATTGCACACCCGAACCGTGGCATTGCACACCCAAGCCGTGGCATTGCACACCCGAACCGTGGCATTGCACACCCACGCTTTGGTGTCGCAGGTCTGGCCACAGCACCGCACACCCAGCTCAAGCCACTGCCACCCCCAAGCCGGGTGCTGCAGCAGATCAGCCCTGGCGGGTGGAAAATGGAGGCTGCGCCATGGGACAGAGGCAGCGAGGGCGGACGTTTAGGGAAGAGGCGCTGATGGATGCCCCATTTCAGGGCAAGGGACCAGCCATCCCGGTGTCCTGGCTGTTGTGTTTAAGCACTACCCGCGCGGAGCAAGCTGGGCACGCTGCAGCACCTCGCTTCAGCTCCAGTTTGAGGTTGTTCTCCCTATCCACCCTCCCTCGTGGGTGGGAAATGCCCTCAGGGCTGCGGCTCGCTACCTGCGGGGGCTTGGCTCGCGTCCTGGGGAGCACGCTGTGGCCTCTGTTGTGCTGGAGCCACAATTATTTTTCCGAGAAATGACACAAACCCATCTCTTCCCTGCTGCCCCGACTGTCTAAGCAGCCCGAGGATCTTCACACTGTGAGGACATCCAGCTGCCTTCGCAGGGGCACTCAGCCACGTGCCCTGCGGACTCCCTATAAAAGCGTCACGTTTGCTGCCATGAATGGGAGATAAGCGATGCCGCTCCCCCACCACCCTTCGACCAGGATCTTCCCCTTTGAAAAGGACAAATATAACCGAGATGAGTCAGTTCCTCCGAGCTCCCATCCCCTGTACAATATGTAACTGGAATTTTTCATTTCGGCACTGCAGGGGAGGCATAACTGGAGAAGACAATGGAGTCAGCTACAACCCAAAAAAGCAGTGCCAATTCTGTGTGCATGAGAAATAAAAACATTTTTTAATCTAAAAATAAATTAACTGTAAGTGACAGCAAGAGCAGATCTGCATGTACTCACTGTCAGCCCGCGCAGGACCAGGCCCTGTTCCTTGGCACAAGGCGGGTTTGGGTGAATTCCCTGCTCTTTCAGGCCAGGTTGGGATTTGCAGCTGTACCACCGAGCCAGGGAGGTACTCAGCACCTGCACCAGGAACAGGGCTTCCTGAGTTGGCATCAGACCCAAAAGCAAATCCACAGAAGCCAGGGAAACCTCTTGGGTTTATTTTCTAACTTCTTTACGGCAGTGAGAAGGGAAAAGAGGCTCCACTGAGCTGAGGGCTTGGCTGGGCCAAGGCACTGCACCAACCCATAAAAACCATCCAGCTTCCCGTGATTAAATAAAGGGTAGCGAGTACGCAAGTGGCTGATGGCCCCACTCTGCAGCTGAGCTGTGGGGACCCCCATGTTATGGAGCAGAGCAGATACCTGGGGCAGCCTCTGCCAAGAGTCCACCCTCCTCCCCTGCCACTCGCCCCTCTGCTTGCTCCTAACTTGTGTTTGGAAGAGACATGGAGCAACACAGTGCTCAGGTATCACAGGAGATTGTCTGGAGGCTCCAGAAAATAAAAGGCCGGTCAAGGGACCGCAGGCGGGAGCTGCAGAGGGGTGCAGCTGATGCAGTGATCATTTCATGCATCCGAGAGCCAGGCCAGCATCCCTCCCTGCTCCCAAAACTTCTCTGACCCCAACTGTGGCAACCAGTTCCCACACATGAGGGACATGGAGACAGACCCTGAAGCAGAGCACTGTCTTAGGGCACGTGAGCAGAGATGGATCCTGCTACTCTTCTTTACAAGCACCAAGAGTTGCTGGGACACGGCCAGGGTTGCTGCTGCAGCAAGAAGTTTCTCAGCTTTTCTTTGCTCTTGTCATGCACTGATCACCTTCGCTAAAAACCCTTTCCATGGGGCCACCTACGCAGGCGGTGGGACACCCCTCGCTGCAGAGGGCTCAGAGCCAGCGAGGACAGGACCTAAGGGGCAACCTCATGGCAGAGGGGCCAGGAGCTCCAGATGGAGCAGAGACACATCAGTAAAGCCGTGGCCCAAGCACGTCACTCAGATTTTGAGAGCACACTGCCCAATTTACTGTGCAACAACATCAACCACTTCGCTGGCTGCTTCTTTCAGAAATCCCCCCTCTTCCAGCACCACTGGTCCCTGTCCCCAGTGTGGTGGCAACTCACTCCCTGTGCATGGAAATCCGACAACTCCCAGCCAAGCAGCAAGGATATGGAGAAGGCAGGTGAGGGGGATACCCAAAACCCAAACCACATTGGGACAATCCTCTCTTTTTTCTGAAGATATTGTCAACAGTGCTATATAAAAGCCTTCTGCCACCCATTCTTTGCCCCAGTCTACTCTGTTTTACGACACTGGCTTCACTAGGTTGGGTTTCTTTTTTTTCCTCTGACTCGACTCCTTGCTGGGTAACACTGTATTTGATATTTTTAATCACTCAGCATGCATCAGAGTTTGGCAGCGGAAGAAAGTGAAGTTAAAAGAGAACAGAGATAGTTTGCATTTGCCAGGGCTGCCTGCCATTGCCACAACCCTCATCGCTTGTGCTGCATTTCCCTCTGCTGGAAAGTCACGAGCCACAGCTGACAAGGTCAATTTAAAAAACGTATCATCAGCCAACAGTTATTAACCTTACAGGGTTTGGACTGTTTCTTCAAAGAAAAACAAAAGTCCTGAACCCTTCTGCCTTTAGTGTACAAACGTACAGATAGATGCATTTGTATGTGCATACCAATACTATTGATAAACCCTTATAATAAATCTATATTTGGCTTTGTAAGGCTGGAAGATCCTGGCCACCGCAGCAATATTATGGAAATTTTGACTTTCTTTGCTCAGAAGTTGCAGCAAAACTTTTAGTTTTCTGTGAGAGCTGCAACTTACTCCCTGAGCAAACCTGCTGTGGGTATCCTGGGTGATTCCCGGAGGGGCTGAGTGGCCGGAGAGCACAGACAGAGGGATGCTGTTGCTTGCTTTCTCATCCTACACCTGGCTCTACCCTGGATTTCGCTGGTGCTTCCAGGCGAGCTGAGGCACGGCAGAGTTCATCTGGTTCACGTGCTGCTTCCTTACTTTGACTATGAAGTTTGCATCACCCCATTGATTCCTTGGAAGAAAAAAAAAAGGCTGATTAACAGTGTTTACTAAACCACGCAGTCACATCAAGCCTGCAATAGGCTGCCTGCCTAGACATTAGTGGCTGGAATACAGGAGTAATTTAAAGATTGCTTTCCAGACGGCTGCAAGATGCACTGACAAGGCTTTAAATCTCCCTCCAAAGATAAAAAAAAGGAGGGTCACCGCTTTTCATCTCCTTCTCCTCGGCACACAGAAATTAAGCCCGTAAAGCCCAAACCACACAGAATGCTGACTCTGGGGTGCCGGCAAGGCCGGGGTCACCTTCCAACAGCCCCTCACGACCCCGGGCTCCTTTTAAATCAGGCACCAGAAAGGGGAGAAGACGACCAGGAGGCCGTTGCAGCAAACCCAGCTACCAGATGTTGGCGGGGAGCAAAGCTGGAACCCTCTGCAGCTCCAGGCGGGGGGGGGGGGGGGTAAAAAAGCCCCGTTGGCGTCGAGGGGAGGAGAACCGAGGGCCGGTTTAGTGGCGGCGGGGGAGGCCTCGGCTGTGGGGGAGCCCCGGGCCCCGCTCCCGCCGCCGCCGCCTCAGGAGGTGAGGGGATGGCAGCGGGAAAGGGGCGGCTGTACCTCCCGCCCGCTGGGGGGCGCTCGCCGTAGCTCTCCGGCAGGAAGCGGGAGAGGCCGGAAGCGGAAGTGTTTATCGTTCGCGATGGCGGCGGCGGAGGTGTCGGCGTTGGGCGGTTTGGGGGTTCCCGATCCCGATGGCGGGGTGAGGCGTCGGCGGTGACGGAAAAGGGAAGGGGGTTTTCGATTCCTTCGCGGTGCCGGTAGCTGAGTGTGGGTTGTTTCAGGGCTCCTCGGGTTCGGAGGACGAGGCGAGGCCTGGCACGGCGGCGGCGGCGGCAGCGCAGAAGCGGGAGGAACGGCTGCGCAAGTTCCGCGAGCTCCACATGAAACGGGTACGCGGCGGCGGCCGGAACGGGGCCGGTTCTTGCTCAACGGTGCCGCTGATACCGGTGGGGGTTGCCCGGTCCAGCTCGGGCGCAGGCCGGCCGCGGTCCGGTGGTCCCGGGGGGGTTGTGCCGCCGGTTCGGTGCTGCCATCGCATCGGGGATTCCCCGGCCTATCTCACTCCGGTACGCGTGGGTGACGGTTTCTTTAGCCCTTTGCCAAAAAGCAGCGTTTTACGTGGCACGATCGGTGACCGGCGGCCTGGCCCCGCTCGGGGATGGGCTCCTGCAATCCTCGGGGGTTCCATTTTTCTCGTTTCTGCGATTGAGCGTTGCCACGCGTAACAAACCGGTTCGTTCCTAGAACGAGGCTCGCAAGCTGAATCACCAAGAAGTGGTAGAAGAAGATAAAAGGCTTAAATTGCCAGCGAACTGGGAAGCCAAAAAAGCTCGGCTGGAGTGGGAGCTGAAGGTGGAGGAAAAGAAAAAGGTAAATGCAAAATTAACAGCTCCCCGTGACCCTGCTGAGCCTCAGTCCAAGCGCCTGCAGCGACACTGAGCCCCCTCTCGTGGTGGCCAGACAGTCTTGGGAGCTTATGCAGACGTTACCCCCACAAAATCCATCTCCTAATTAGACTCCTGATTATCTAAATTACTGTCCTGCACTAGAGGTCGGCTGGACTGATCTAGGTAGTTCTAAGTTTGACCCTTGGCCACTGTTTTGTTGTTAAAAGTGAAGCGGTTTTTGTGCTGCGTTAGGAATGTGCAGCCAGAGGAGAAGACTACGAGCGAGTTAAGCTGCTAGAGATCAGTGCTGAGGACGCCGAGAGATGGGAAAGGAAAAAGAAGAGGAAAAATCCAGATCTAGGATTTTCAGGTAATGGGCTAACTATGTAATTGTCTGTGTTCCTAATGAATACCTTTGTTAGTATTTCACCTGCAAACTGAACCATGAAATAAAAACCTTCACCTCGATGTCAATTCATTTTCTTCCCAAGATTACGCGGCCGCTCAGCTGCGCCAGTACCAGAGGTTAACCCGGCAGATCAAACCTGACCTGGAGCAGTACGAGAAGCTGAAAGAGCAGTAGTAAGTTTTGATTTCAGTCATCTGATACCATCTGTGGTATTTCTAAATTATTAGCAAACACTGAAGATTTAAACTAATCCTTACAGTGCATGCATGTTCCCATATGCACTGTAATTTTAATTAACCTTTTAACACGATCTTAAAATGCGTGGCCTGATAATCTACTCCGCAGTCCCTGCTTCGGTAGGTAACCGGGGTAATTGATGAGGTTCCTTTCTTCAAACTGAGTTTGAAGTATTTTGTCAATTAAATTGTATTTAAATGCATGAGTTGATGACTCTTGTTTCTTGCAGTAGGTTTTGGGGGGTTTTTAAGCAGCCTGGCACAGTTTAAGAACAGACTGACCGAAAGATGAGAACTTGCCAAGTTTGCATTCAGATTTAGAATTTCAGTGGGTTTCTGTATCTCTTGTAGGCGTGTGCTAGTGTCTCTCAAAATAATTAAGAGAGCTTGTTAATATCAACATGTTCTTATCTCAATCTTGGGCTCCCACAGTTCAGTGCCTTAAAATCTTACATTAAAAATCAAAGAAGCAGTGAAATCTCAAAGCAATCAATACAGTTGTGTAAAATGCTGCCCATCTGTTACTCTTGTCCAGTGGTGAAGCGCTTTATCCCACATCCGACAGTCTTCTCCACGGAACTCACGTGCCATCTAAGGAAGGGGTTGATAGAATGGTTGCAGATCTTGAAAAACAGTAAGTAAATACAAAGATAAAACAAAGAAGTGTGTGACAAAGAAGCTTTGTGTAATCAAATCCACAGGATTCACCCACAGGTCTTCAAACACTACTGCTTGTCTTACAGAATTGAAAAGCGTGAAAAATACAGTCGACGTCGTCCTTACAATGACGATGCAGACATCGACTACATCAACGAGAGAAATGCCAAGTTCAATAAGAAGGCAGAGAGGTTCTACGGGAAGTACACGGCCGAGATTAAACAGAACTTGGAAAGAGGAACAGCTGTCTGAACTGTCATCTCCCACAAAGCACGTACGACAGCCCTACTGCATCTATTAAACTTTGGTATAGAGATTTCGCAGGCAATTTCAAGTTGTATCAAAAAACCCCAGTTTGTAGACCTCATTAGCTAATTTGTAAAATCAATAGTATATTTAACGTAATAACTTGCATAAAACCTTCAGCTGTATATGGCTTTTACTTGCAGAAGTAATCAGCTCGTGCAATTTCATGTTCTAAATAAACACAAACTCTTATCACTTGATTTAGAATAAAGCTTGTCTTCATTCTTCAGTAGCTGGAGACTGGTAAAGTCCCTGAAAACACTTGTTTAGCAAGAAGGCAAAAGAATGCTCAAGGAACACATGTGACCTTTCTGTGAAAAAGAAGCCACCCTCAGGTGCCTGTCATGTGCCAGAGTTTGGAGTTTTGATTGCTCCCCTACCCAGGCAGCAATGCCTGTCCTCACCCACAGGGCAAGGAACAGGGACTCTCTCAAGCATTAACTTTTGTTGCCACAAAATACACAATGCTTAGTACATCTGCTAGCCTTGTCTTAGCAATTTAATAGTTTCTTAAAGAAGCTTCGAGACTGGAGGAATTAGTCAGTTTATTTTACTAACCATTGATTTTTACAAAAAAATGAGTTTAACTGATTGCTCCAAAACCATGCAACAGCCTGTTGACTTGTATGCTTCTCTTCAGAGACCAGATGGAGGTCTGTGAGCCATAGCACCAAATGCACTGTACCGCTAAATGGTGGCACTCTGAACAGCTACAGCCTCCTCCACTAACTTCACCAGTTGCTTACTACCTTACACAGGCAGCTTTTAAAAGCTGTTTTTAAAGCAACCAAAATCAAAACACAAGCCAGCACTGACTCAAGTTGAGCATTAGAAGTCAGCAGAAGTGACAGCTGCTCAGGTGCAACGCTTTCAACAGTTACTTAGAATGGTGACAGCTTCACACATGGCAGTCAGGTATACATCCAACACAAGCTTTCCACTTGCAGGCGGGTATCTGGGGAAATGAGGGTGGAGGCCCTGAACTACACACAGCCTGGACAGGAACAATTCCAGTGTATGATGCAAAAATTACTTTCTGTTGCACTTTGTGATAACAGTAGAGTAACAGAAAGCTAAACCTGGAAATAACCACTTAAAGGACACAGTCAACTTAGAACCAAACACAGGTCTAATACTTGACACATTGAGAAGCCAGTGCAAAACTAAAGTTTATTTACTTAAGTAAACAGTTACACAATGTAAATCAAGTGTTCAAAATAACAGCTACTGAACTATTGTTTAGAAAAAGTTACCCACCTGTAAGTTCTAGTCCATTAAAGCAATACAAAATATTTACAAATATACACAAGATTCCCATCTGTGGCTTCTGGATCACTGTGCTCTAGATCTGAAAGAGAAACCTAAGATTCCAAAATTAAGATCTCAGAATAAATACTCAGTATGAACAAGTCTTCAACCTTATCAGAAAATTTCAGATCTCACTACTGAAGTATGCATAATGCAGCAGTCAGAAACAGTGACAAAATACACTAGCGTGCCCGGAACGGTGCACTTTTAGGTGAGAAGTTTAAAAACGTTTTCTTCTCCTCCTTCTTGACAGGAACCCATTGCCCATAGGGACTTCCCTTTCTGTCATCTTCTCTTCCTGGAGAAATTGTTGGTTCTTTAACAACATGGCTTGCTGGCTTCTGTAGTACTGGTTTTGCCATTGTATTCTGGAAAAAGAAATTACCTTTAGAAACACTAGAATGAGAAGGAATGTACCAAGAGCTGTCAACATCAAGGGGTCTATTTGACCTGGTAAGACAAATGTTTTCATACACTTAATTGACACAGGATTCAGGGAAGCTGCTTTTTTGTTAGTTCTGCATTATTAAAACACATCCAAACATTTAATTTGAAATAAGTTCTGGTGTAAACCAGTTCTGGCATACACTTTTGAGCCTATAGTACAGTATAGGCATTCAACATTAAGCACTGAAAGGTAAACATCTATTTTAAACACACTACTGTAGTGTGTTCACAGTGCTCTACTGTTAAAGGGCTGATCTCCAGGAAGGTAATTATCAAACCATGAAATTCAACTTGTTACTATCAATAAAGATCTTCAATCTGGCAACCAATGCTGGGGAAAGCCTAACACCGTGTCCTGGTTTTGGCTGAGATAGAGTTAATTTTCTTTCTAGTAGCTTCTAGTATAGTGTTATGTTTTGGATTTAGTATGGGAAGAATGTTGATAATACACTGGTGTTTTAGTATGAACACTACATAGCAACAACTAAGTCAAGGATTTTTCCGCTTCTCACACCCAGCCAGCAAGAAGGCTGGAGGGGCACAAGGAGCTGGGAGTGGACAGAGCCAGGACAGCTGACCCAAACTGGCCAAAGGGGTATTCCATACCATGTGACATCACGCCCAACATATAAACTGGGGGGAATTGGCCAGGAGGGGCGGATCACTGCTCGGGAACCAACTGAGCATCGGTCTGCAAGTGGTGAGCAATTCCCTTGTGCATCACTTGTTTTGTATATTCCAATCCTTTTATTATTGTCATTTTATTATTATTTTCTTCCTTTTCTGTCCTAGTAAACCATCTTCATCTCAACCCACAAGCTGTTGGTTTTTTTTTTTTCCCCCAATCCTCTCCGCCATCCCACTGGGTGGGGGAAGTGAGCAAGCAGCTGCCTGGTGCTTACATTGTCAGCTGGGGTTAAACCATGATACGCAGGAGGGATGAAGTACTGGAATTCCATCTTGGGAAGTCACACTTACGTTAGGACTGAAAGAAATGCTTCTCTGTATGGTTGCTCTCTCCATTCCACTCTTGGTCATGTCTTCTGCTAGTCTTCTGGGTTGCTAGAGAAGAGCACACACACAGCTTAAGTGGGAGGATACGTTATTCTGTGCAAGTTAAGGCAGTTACTAGATAGTATGAACTTTCTGGTAGAGTTGTTTCAGGCATTTACATCAAAAGTAGCTGTAAGCTACTAAATATGCAAACAGATCAACGTTGAACTCAATTCAAAAAGCATTCAGTATTTTTACCAATGTCATTGTGCCAATTCACATGTGACCTGATATCCATGCCCCAGTTACAGTTTTAAAAAGGATTCAAATGATTCAAAGCATGGACTGCCATACAATGAAGTGTAGAGGTAGAGCAAGTTGCATTAAGTTCTGCATATCCCTCCTGCAGAGCTTTGGATAATGACAATAAACTTATCTGCAAGTGATGCAGGCCTCTTCTTCTGTACTCTCTCAACATCTGGAATATATTGCATATATTATGAAAGGGATGCCTGTACCATTTGTCTAAAACCCTTAGTAAATTTACTTCCATTTGAAATAGCAGTATCTGATCAATGTAACAGTTATTGCAGTTTTGTATTTACCATGAGTCAGGTTAACACACTATAACAACAGAGCCAAACTAAAATTCAAATTCAGTTTAAGCTGCTCAAGTTTCTCCCTCCCTTAAATTCACAGCAGCTACAGCCCACAAGTCCCTTAATTACCAACAGATTTTCTTCATCATGTCTGGAACCATAGTCATGATTTCTATAAGACAGAAATAAAGTATGTAAAATGCATTGTGTGCTTGGGTATGTAATTTCTGGGAAACAGTTTGTTGCACATGAAAAGCTTTTAACAGTCAAAAAAGGTAGAAAGATTTAACCTTTAAAAAAAACCCCACACTACTCACTAGGTTTGGTAAGGAAACTCCTTGCTTTAGGTCAGGAACACATAAACTAGTCCAATTAATGGGCAATATCTTACTAGAAGAACAACTCAAAAGACAAGCTACATTCACCTCTCCTTCCCAACCTATCACAACTGGAAAGCCTGCATGTACTCAGTGGATCAACCACCTCTTAAGAGTCCATATTACTTTCAGCTTAACACAAAGTCTACAGTGGTTTCCAGAGTCGTTTTTAGCATTCTGGTAAATCTCAACTTTTTGTTCAAGGGTTTGAATTCATCATCCCAAAGTCCACAGTTGAAAACTGTAACACATCCATGCAGATGACAAGGTTTTAGAAGTGTTTACCTTTTCATTGAGAATACTCCAGTTCATACTTACCTCAGCTGACTCTCCAGGACCTTCATGCTCTTGTTTTTCATTTTTTATCTCTTTGGAAGGAGTAAGGATCTTCAAGCTCGCTGGCAAAACTATGTTATCTGTTCCCAGAGCTTTTGCAGCATTAGCTTTCGCAATTTCCAGGAGTTCCCTCTTGTCTACAAGAGGAAAAAAAGTGTCACTCTTATGTTTAAATCAACACGTACCTACTCACACAAGCCTAAAAACTGCAGGTTTACTATCAGTGCACCTATGTCAGCATCAACTGTGATGAATTTTCATCAGAACTTAGGAGATTTCGTTTCAGTTGCAAAGAATATGCTCTGAACTATTTTTTAAATACAGTTTTATAACCACGCAGAGATTTTCTTCCACATAGCCATTATCAGTTATGCTCTATAAAGCAAGTATATAGATGAGAATTTGACTGTTAAAATATAAATTGTGTGTTTTGAGGTTTTCACACAATGGAAGTCTCAAAAAAAAAAGTACCTTTTTCACTCAAATGGAGAGGTGACCTACTCCGAGATCTTGTTCGTGACCTGCTTCTCCAGCTCCTGTAAGCCTCAGGATATATTGTTCGCCCAAATCCATAATACCTTCGGCCTCTTGAACGTGATCTGCTTCTCGAATATGACCTTCTGTAATACGATCTTCCACGAGACCACGACCTACTGCGTGATCTATACCTTGGAGGAGAGCGATGGTACCTCCTGTAGCGTCTGGCATGGTACCTTCCTCGGTATCTCATGTAGCCATGCGATCTTGACCGGCTTCTGGAATACGAACGGGAGTATCTTCTGTACCTTCGGGAACCATTTCTTCTAGCCCATGACCTTGATCTCGATCTGGACCGGCTCCAACTCCTGGAGGAAGCTGAAGAGGAACTACTTGAACTGGACTGTGAACTGCAAGAGGATCTGCTAGATGATCTTGTTGATGACCTATCACAACTTCGCTTGGCTCTCAAAGACGACTCTCTTTTCTTCGGTGAGCTGAGGGTTAAGTCATCCATGAAGCCTGTCATATCTTCAGTTTTCCTAACCACCATTTTCTCCATGCAGGTACTTTCAGAAGCTGGTTCCGTTTTTATTGTTGTTCTGCAATACCCGGTCTCTGT